TCACGGCGGTCGTTCGTGGTAGACATGTCCTGCTACATCATTACATACATAGATTAGCGACATCTGCGTCAAATGTGCTCGCGCCAGCTGCGCATCGCATCGCATCGTCGCCATCTGGCTCATCGCGGGGTGAGACGCGTCGGGCCGTCTTCCTCTGAGCATATACGAGTCGGATAAAATCTGAGCAGACCTCGGATTCAAGCTGTGGCCGTGTATAGCGGTCGGGGCAGTCGTGCAGTTGATTGGGAACGGGTGACGTTGGGGTGGTGATTGGGACTTGATGTTGTTGAACTTCGTGGAGAAAGGCGCCGGTTATGGCTGGTGACGTCGGTTGATCTGCGCTAGATCTCCACTTGGTTTGGCGGGGTGGTACTGCCCAGTGGTGGTTTGGAGACCGTTTTCACATGCTTGCTGAAGGCACAGGGTAGCCAGGGCAATAAAAGGTTGACAAACATGAAGAACGACATTTTGTTCTAACAACTCAATGAGCTGTACGTAAGTGCTTAGGAGGGCGAATGGAACTTGAACCTGATAATAGTTAGAGCTTAAGATGTCGTTTTTCCTTTCCTGGTTGTGAGAATAATTATAAATCCAATAAACAATTCATCTTCTACTTTTGTTCAAGTCCGACAAGTGATGTGCAGCATTAAGCCAAGAAACGTGCAATGCATCACGCACCATGACGGAAAAAAAGAATAAACTGAATTTCGATACAAAATCAGACTTCTGGACATACAGGTTCTTAATACATAATGCTGTAACTGGGTTGTGATGGTGATAATGAAAATACCATAGAGGTGGCCCGCGGTCTTTCATATCGATAAGCTGATAACGATTGACCAACCAATCACAACAGCACGCTTCCACCTTCAGCTTCGCCCAACATCGTCATTGGGAACGATCACTGATTGTGTCTCTTAATCTACTTGCCTGACAGATGCACCAGACGCACCCGCGACATGCCCGCAACGAACGACGCATACGAGCCATGAAGAAAGTACGCCATTGCAGCTTATCCATGACATTCTCCTTGAAATCGGTTCGATGTTGATTAGCTTTGCTGTTGCTGCCGGACGACGCGAAATCGCCTTGTGTGACAGACAGTTTCGCAATGAAGAGCATCACTCGCGCCCCGCGTGCATCGAGCCTCGCATTTAGCAACCCTGATCGATTCGACAACAAGCATGCAACCCAACCGAATACGATCGCGACGGCAAGCTGCCGAGTCCCTTCGCGATGCCATTGTTGAGCGCAATGAAATCGATACTGATCTTGAAAGACGATGAACACGTGCGACACTGCCATCTATTCGCTTCACCTGCCCGACGGAGAACAGTCACCAGGCAGCATGGCCGCCCGCTAACATCTCGGGATTAGATCGATCACCTCGACTCAATACAGAGGTAACGAGGAAGGGAGTCTCTCAAAACTTGACCGCAAGAGTCCGCAGCTATATGGAAAGGAACCAGAACAAAAGAGTGCTTGTCGGCAACCAGCAACCTTCTCGTCGCCGAATCCATGGTCACTTCCTGGTTCATTCTCGATCAGTCCGACTGGAATCGGATTTCCTCAAAAGTGGCGAAAGCATGAGAGTCTAGAGCTAGCTGGAAAAGCTACCGTTCCCCCAACACACAGTCCATCCGCCACGCTCAACGCTCTCAGCTTGATCCACAAGGCTTCGACCGGCCGGCTCGTTATCCTGGCTATCTGACGGCTGATGCGATGCGAAACTGTAGCTACGATTGAAGCTGTTGATGAGCTGGTTTATGACCTTGTTTTTTACTCGAGCTCCCCTCGATAACTATCTTTGCCTTTCAGCTGGGAGGAAGACAGAGGACTCGACTCTACATCATGGCCTCACCTCTCCCCAGACTGAGGCCAATACCGAGGTCAGGGATACTGAGGCTATCAAGCAACCAGGCGCCAACATCGGTATGACTTGCACGGCTCTTTATCTTATGTTTGGTCTGGATGGAGTCCCGAGAATGTCTTCCTCGCTGATAGCACTCTCAATACCCCTCCCTCTTCAACTGCTGCAAACAGGATCCAAAGCGGATTGACTGCGATTATCTCTATTTCAGGGCGATGGCTATTACTCTTGGTGAATTCTTTCTTTTACTTGATGTCTGCTAGTCACAGACTCCCACAAGTACCGACAATTCTCACCTTTGGTTCCCATCCGCCAGCGCCTCCTCCTGTCATCTATTCTGTCGCAGCTTCCCACAGAGATTACGACTGACCTGAAGAGGCGAGTTGGCTAGAACTGGTCCCTGTGGTTTGCGATGAACAAGAGTTATTCACGGTGAAATACTTGGATCGTGTTCGGCCATCTTCCTGTGGTAGCAAGCCCAGAAAGCCGAGCATTGCGGGAGGCGAGGAGACATATTTCACCTGCTTTCGGGCCAGCCCTGTATGCTTTTGCTCAAATCCACACGAGAATATGGGGATCAGCTGATGATACGTAGACGCTCCCACCCGCGTTCAGTTTCATCTCGCGGATGGTTTTGACACCCAACCCTCGCCCAACACAAGAGCAAGCGACCGCCGAGACCGCCCCAATCCACGATCTACCCCTACGGCTTTCACACGGCGTTGGGTTCCAATCTTCGATCTATCCTACAGCCTTTGCACAAGAGCAAGCGAAGTGCTGAGAATGCTTTACTCCTCGATCTACCCTGCGACTTTTGGCTACCTCGATATAGGAAGCCGAATCTATCAGGCTACATGCAAATCACAGTCAATACAACAGGCCTAGCAAGGATGACGGTAGTATCGGAGAAAAGCAGAGTATCTCCTTCGCTGACCTTGGCCTCTGTATCGACGGAGTTGATGATGATTGGAGACTGCTTGGTTGGGCATTTGGGTCATGTATCCAAGTGATGGGGCTGCCGTCTTGCGATATTGAGCTTTGAAGCTCCGATACGACGGCGCTTTGGGCCATGCGATGCCAGTAATAATAACTTCTGCATTACTCTATGTATAACTGGCCTTTCAGGGGCTCTCATCTTGTAAGCGCTGCATCCTGTGTCTACCAAGCGGCATGGTTCCTCTCAACATCTGGTCTCTCGAAGCTACGCCACCCACAACACCAAGGCAGCGCTCTCCAGAGTGGGCGCTTTGCCGTCCCCATTGATCTCATTGTGTAGGATCATTTATCCAGAGGCGCCGGGCCCTCTTCCTATACCAACGACATTTCATGCAGCCCACGCGACTCCTGGCTATCTCGATCAACCGCACGGTCAGGACGGAATCCTGCGAGGCGACTCTGCACTAAAGAACACCGACATCTTACGCATTTCTCTCTAAACGCTGCTTTCTCTGAGGGCAAGCGTCCTTCGGTCTGACCATGCCCTGCGTACATGGAAGAGAAAGGCATCTGCCACAGGTGAGATGGAATCTAGGATCCGGCAGCCATCCCGTCGATCGCAACGGCTGCAGCACCAGCACTAGCATTATCACCAACAAGCACCAGCGCCAATTGCAACCAGAAGCGCCACTATGGATTGACACTGAGCCAGTACACGTAAGGCCAGACCCTCTCACGACAACAGCCGCCCTCGATTCATCAAGGACCAGATTCTGACAATTGATGCTGTAAGGCGCTTCACTTCCAGGTCGCATGCTTGGCCTCAGATGGGACATCATTTCTGACATGCTCAAGCTCGACATACCTGTCCTCCAGCCACCAGCTCGTTGCGTTGGCCTGATTCCGCGTCTCGAGTCTTCGAAATCAGCTCGCCACTTCATACTGTGCCTGCACTCTCGCAGCCCGGAAACATGGCATATGAACAAGCTACGGGTTGGGATGCACCCCTTACCTCGGGGTTTTCCAGCCCGTGATCTGCCCCTTTACAGAACCATATTACACCACAAGCGCGCCTCCTAAAGATACGAGGCACACGTCAAAGAGTCAATCCCAGTTCCTGATGATTTCTGGTATAAACACCCAATTAATCAGGGCAACTGGAGGCAATGCTGTCAGGGACACGCTCATTCTGAACGCGCAACTCTGACTGTTCTTGTGCCCTATGCTGAAATGCAACGGGCTATACTGCAAGACTTTCTATTGTAGGTGCCCACATGTAACCGATGATCTCTGGTTCTGCGTCTACTGGCGATCCTTTGGCCGTATGTTGCTAAATGCGAAATGTTTCGAGGTAGGAGTGACGTTGGGGACGATGTCAATCTCCAAAGACTGAGCTTATTACCGTCGCGTAATATGCAAAGAAACAGTTCTATCCGTAGCACATGCTACCTTCGGTCTGTCACCTGAATGGCGTTGATGAGAAAAGTCCAATTTGCATTAATGGAGTGAGTACTCGGCTGATTCCTGATCAGCCGCCGATAGCCCTGTAAATTTCCGACGTTGTATCATACTTTTGTCTTCGCAGCTATCACTACTACAATGCCGACTAGGTGCCAGTCTGCCAGGGCTTGGATCTCTGCGTCTGCTATCGCTATTCCTGGCTGTGCATCGCGGCTGGCCTACACATGGGCATAGCTTCCTGCTGGCTCGAGAAGTACCGGATTTGGTTGCGCTGGCCATTGATGTTTAGTTTGAGACCCTCCGCTTGACGGCCATGTTATGCTTGTCGAGGTGCATGATGATGTTCAAGGACTACCATGATACCGTCTACTAATTTGCGTGCTGAAGGAGACGAAACAGTCCAAATTGCGTTTCCGAATTATGGCTTCTTCATAACAGCATTCAACTCAGTGTTCTTGGTGATGACGGCAAAGTCTTGGTAGACGGCCTTCACCCCCCCTGACAGTCTTGGGGGTCTTAGGCACTACGGGATCGATGACAGCAGCCTCAGTTTATCACAAATCTACTTTCCAGTAAGAGAATGAATGCCAAAGCCACCAGAAAGTAGACACACAACAGTGAGAGTTCGCTGATTATGCCATGGGAGAGCGGCTGGGACCCCGTAAAGGGGGTGACTTGCAGTATGGCCATGCAGACGTAAGCAAGCACTGTGAGCGGCTTTGGAACCCTATTCCTACTTGTCTTTTGTAGTCCTGCGGAAGGTACACTCGTAGAGGTTCCTAGGACCACAGCGCTGGATTCGGCAGAGCTTCAGTTCAATGTTGTTGGGAATGCCTTCAGTGGCACGAGTACCGGTATCCCTTGGGCACATGAAGCGCACCAGTAGGAAAGTCAACGGATCACACTTGTAGTATCAAGAGTACTTGTAATTACAGCGAAACCTGGGAAGACACTAAGTACTTCTGGTACTGCATCTACGCACATCTAGCAGGACTCTCACGTTGCTGCAAGTCTCGGGCTTATTGTAGTAGATTCTATACAAGTACGGTTCATCTGCTCAAGGGATGCGCTTCACTTGCTCGCGTGACTTGCTCTCTTGAAACGCCTCAACTGTCTCCGGACGACTTACTATTGTGAACCATGACTTGTAGGTGATGAAGGCCGCCACCAGTTCTATGTTGACGAGGACAGCGCCACACATGTCTGCGCTGACCAGGCTCTCACTTACAGTCATGATGTTGCTGTCACATACTGGGACGTACATCGTGATGGGACGGGACTGACTGCCTCGCGAATCATCAGCTTCCGATCTCCAGCAGTGTAATCTTGGTTGCCTGCGAAAAAGATGCCCAGTCAAAAGCCAGCACCCGGTTCCGCGCGCAAATTTGGGGCCGGCATCGCTGGCAACATCAAGATCAAGGGGAGCGCATTTCTCATGGTGAATTCCCTTCAGTCTCGCTCTGTTTGTCTGGGTCCGGTGTGAATGTTGGGCAACGGGGAGGAGGTGGTGTAAGAGGACGGTAGTGCAAGACGGAATTTCCCATGCCGTTGCAAAGCCCATCTTTTAGACTTTAGTCATGCAGCGATTTGTATGCAAGATCCCGTCGCTGGACTTCAGCCTACCCGGCCGTTGCGTGCAAAGGTTAAAGGGGCATCAGGCATCTATGTATCAAGCCACGCCCTCCTAGATATCGGCGCATAAGGCCCGGACCTTTAGGCACTCATCCGTTAGCAGGGCGTAACTCAAATGAATCATGATCAGGCATTATCTGATAAGCACGTGAAGGCTGCCTACGGAATGAAGGCGTCGACGTGTTGCATTTCGACCGTTGAGCGCCGACAATATGGACTTCTACATGTGCCGTGTTAGAAAGGCAGCTGGCTCGGCGGGCGGGTGCGCAGCGTTGTCGCACATATGATGTCGTCAATTCTCAGACGGTGTAGAATTGTTGCAGGTATTTTCGGGTGTCTTTCTAATTCATCGGCTGTTTGCAGCGATTGGCCGTGTATACATCTTGAACTTGTTGCAGATCTGCGAAATATTCAGGAGTCTTGCGCTGAGGAGTCGACAAATTCCAACCAGTTTCATGCATGAGGGGGATTATCTTCATCATGAGTTCATATTAGGTCAGCAAGTTTATATCAATCAAAAGGCCAAAGAGTGCAAGGGAAGAGTCAATTCAATTCATCGGCCTGTTCCTGTAGCAGGTAAATAAATGCCTGAAGAAATGGACCAAGATATCAGCGAGTACCGCATCGCATCATAGACTCCAAGCATTCGACTAACCTACACCTTCTCGACGCCTGTCTTCCTCCTCTGACCGCCAGTCTCTCATGACGTATCAGTCTTTGCTGTGCCGCGAAAACAGCACATCCATCAACAACATGGCTCACGCGTGCCAAACTAACACTGATGCCGACAAGCCAGCCCGCAGAACGACAGGTCAACTAACAATAATTATCAAGGAGGGACTTTGCTCTGCGGATAGCCACTACTAGCCAAACGGAGGCTTCCTATCCTCGGGAGTCTAGCGGTCCGTCGTTGTTCTGGTGTCGCCCCGGAGGGTGTGCCACTGTGCGACATGGCTAGAGTCTGTCTCTGAGATTACGCAACCTGTTTTCTGTGCTTTCACGTTTACGTTTCACGGACCTCTAAACACTGCAGCTACTGTACCCTGAGATGACGTGGTCTTTTGCTGGCGATGTTGCAGTTGACATGATCCGGGCTGCCGCATTGGAAATCTGGTTGAGTCGCTGTGTGAGTTGACGGGGACGGGAGGCATTGGTCAATGCGTCAACACAACTGAATTGTTGTGATCTCTGACGCAATTACATTGAGTTGATGCTGTAAAATTGAGAGCGGCAACAATCTACAAGATTATAAACGTGTGAATTATGCTTAATATCTCGAGATTTCTATTTTTAACGTTGTGATCTGATGTGCGCTGGGGTAATGACGATGGCGGGGTAGCAAGGACCCTGCAAACAACACTTCATTTCAATTCATATCACATCTCAAGCCAGAACATTGGCTCTTATTGTCACCCAAACAACATCAACGCTGCTGAATCAATCAAGACGTAGACAATACCATCGTTTGGCATCTTCCTGTCGCCGAAAGTGTGTCTTATGCCCCTGCAATGTGTAGATTCAAGGTTACATCTGCCCTGCCGGCCCCAGATCTCAGATCGGCGATCAGATTTAGGGGTGCACGCCCTGGCTGGACCCCTGTCTTAGTCGCGGGGTGCACCAACGGCGGCATCCAACGTTAAACTCACGTTTAACGCAGCACCGCACATTGACACTCAGCGGGAATCTTAGACATCAAGGTATCGTAGGACAGCATTTGGTAAGACATTCACACCCCGGAGACTCTGGCCAGTCTTGCCAACCTCCCCAGGCCAAACACCGCTTCTGGGCTTGCTTAACGGCTCTCTGATCACAATTTTCCCGTCCGGCCATTATCACGGGAATTAAGGTGATACATTGGCACGTAGACGTGACACGCCCGGACCGCCATGTAAGGCATCGACCAAGCGACGTGACACGAGATGCCATATCGAGAGAAATCCTCCGGTGTAGGGCAGGAATACTTTGCTTCTCTGCGTAAATACATGGCATTTCATGTACCACTGGCCAAAGATACCAACCTCAAGAATTTCTCCAAGTCCCAACTCGCAGGGAGAAGAAGTCTTGTTCAAATACCCTCCTCCATCGTCTTCTTCCTTTCTCTTCAGACACACACAATCACTTGCAATATACGCATTCGAACTTTGCCTCTTCTCTTGTTGGCATATCTTGTCTTTATATTTCCACTTTCCTCCACTCTGCACTCGCTGTGTCTTTGACAGAGGTTTTAGTGGCCTTTTTTCTGGCCATTCCTCTTGTCTTTGAAACTGCCTTGCTGCTGAGGATCTTGTCATCAACACCTTTGCCTTGCGTCCACTCTCTGAGCACTGCCATCGCTTTACATCCACTCTGTGCTCTGTGAGCTCTTGTTCCATCCTCCGTCAAGTCTTGCTCTATTTTCCATCCGGCCTCGTTCCAAGCTGCCCTCAGCTTTGGCTTGACAGCTGGACATTGTTTGAGGTAGGCTGTTTTTCACCATGCGCAACACAAACTAACCTTTGTCTCTTCTCAGAGAGGTACCTCTTCTCTTTGGCATCTTCCTACCTACCGTTGAAGACCCGACTTCTTCTCCGCTATTGCCCTCGCTCTACTCTCTGCTCCGCGAAGTCCCGCTTCAACGTCCCACTTTGGGTCTTGACAGTTAGACATCTACTGCCGGTAAGCTCCATCTACATCATGTTCAAGTCCTACTAACACCTCTGTTCAGAAGACCATCTCTTGCCTTTGGCCTCTCCCCCATCTGTGGCTGAGGACCCTGCAGGACTCGTACCCCTGCGGTCGTCTCCCACGGTTGAGTACTCTCTTCACATTTGTCTTTCTGTCTTCGCAGTGTTCAGTCTTCAAAGTTTTCTCCTTGCAATATTCTCGGCAACATTCTCCCTTCGCAGTCTTCTCAGCTGCGCTCTACGCACAAGAAGCAGTCTGGTCTGTCGCGCGCAAAGTTTCGCGAGTGCAGGAGACTTCTACGCTCTACACACGTTCATACTCTTGTCATCTTATCATCGGCCTCTCTAAGGCTGGGGATCCTGCAAGACCTTTACTACTGTGGTCTTCTCCCATTATTGTGTCCTTTCTTCGCAGTCTTCTCCCTCAGGGGTCTTTTCAACTGCGCTCTAAGGACAAGAAGAAGGTCTGGTCCATCGCACGCAAAGTCTTGCTGGTGTATAAGACTCCCGCACTCGACACACCCTCGTCCTCAACTGTTCTACTCGACGCCCTCCTAGCATGTACAATTCCGATAAACATTACGCCTGAGCAAGAGCGCTTCCTTTACTCAACCTTGACTGTCTTTGCCGCTTCGCAAGGCACTTTGTCTCTCTCTCAGTCGAATTCCCTGAACACTTTTGACCCCCTGAGACTTTCCATGATTGAGCAGCAAGCGCTCTCATTTGCCCACCCCTGGACGAAATCGTCACCATTTCTGGCTTGTCGCCTAAAAGTCATGTGTTAGTTCCCAAGGAGGACAACGAGTATATTGCCCAAATGAGTTGGTTGATGTCCTTACCCTCTGTGTCAGAGTCGGCACATCTTCCACTTAAACCTCTCAGAGAGCCGTTGCTTGATCAACGGACTTTTCAGTGTCTTCGCCGACTAAGCGACGTGTCTCGACTCGTGAACTAAGACACTTTGGCTCAACAAGTCGCCTTAAAGACGCGCTCAGCACACCGCCACCACCACCAACGCCTCGACACCTCAGCTCCAGCGAGTGGATGCTATCGATTTCATCTATCCTTCAGACCCGAGTCTCCGGTGTGATAAAGGCCTGGTTGGAGTCTGGTCTTCACTTGTCTCCAGGTCTTGAACATCTTCCATTCCTCACACTTTGTGGAAGATGTCTGAGCAAGAGAACACTCTGAAAACCACCTTGACTACACAAGGATGGCGAAGATAAAGGTCGGACCGGAGGAAATCTGCGGTGAAGGTTCAGACTACGCCCGTTGCCCATTTCTGCTCCATGGCCTTCTCCCAACTTCCTCTACTTCGACGCGAGGTACTGGCGCAGTATTACTTGACATACTCAGTCCTGAGCTGGGTGACAGCAATGCCATCAAGCCCAACCAGATCAGGCTATACAGGCATCGCCACGTCCGCAAGAGACACCAATGAAACTTGGCAAGGCTAAGATAGTGAGATTGTGCAGCAAGTTGCGACAGCGCACTCACTGTCTTTTCTGCTCGGTCGTATGCTATCAGCTGGAGTTACCGCCAGTCGTTCTCTCACGCGAGTCCTGCGTCGCAGCCGTTCCGCCCGCCGAACTCTCATCCCCTCTCGGTTCCGTCAAGCGCCCTCGTGCTGTCGTCGTCGCTCCTCTACACGCCCTGATCGAAGCCAAGCGTGGGGTCTCACCTGTCACTCGGCTTTATAGAACTGTCCCACTTAGCTGTGAAGACCTCAAGAGCGCTCGGAAAGAGGCAGAAGTGACGTTCCGTCGGTTTGATTACGACCCATTCAAAGGCGACATTACCATCCGAATGAGTTCTCCGATACACGGTAGTTTCGCCATATCGAGCTAAGAACAGAGCGAGTCAACAGTGCTGTCTTGTGTTGATAGAACTGGTGGCCGCTGCTTTATCACGTTCACTTCCCACGCTTGACAATCAACGCGCTCATTTCATTTCGCACTTCAGAGACACAACACATCAGAGTGGTCAAGAAGGCTTTACAAGGACGTCTGATCAACCAGCCTTGCAACAGCGATGACGAACTTGTTGCGGCTGTACCACCCTGGCACCGTCCTTCCAAGCAGTCACTAAACACCGTCAACCGCGAGACACACCAGCAACCAGTCAACCAGCCCTCAAAGTCATCATTCACCCTCAGATCAATAATGGGGTTCACCAAGCAAAGGTGGCCATTCAGCACTTCAACGTTGAACACCGAGCGATGGAAAAGAATCACATCTGCTGTGCCACCTCCTTGCCCTTGTATTGTTTTCGATCATCAAGTTGGTCAGTCGGTCGGGGTGATCGTTACTCTGACTTCGTCCACCATCTCATCACGACACTTGACCGAGAAATGCAAATACGAACTGCAGCTGCGAGACGGTCTAATTGGCGACATCCCTTTATCGCTGACGATACCCATCAAAAGATCAGCATCGAGGGGAGCTCCATTTGCTTTGGAGGCATATGTCGAGCCTTCGATTGTGAGTCTGCAATAACACTGGATATGGCAGAGTACACATTACACTATCATTATCTTGACGCTATCCAACCCAATCTACCTGTCTGCGCTTCTTTCTCCGGACACTGAAGAGGAATGGCATCGTTAGTGGCTCTCAAGACGCGATAGTAGATTTCCCAAGTTACCCCCTACATCATGCCCAATCTCAGCTTCGCTTTGACGGTAGTTGGGTTGGCTACACAATCTTCTGGGACAGTTCCCGAGACAGCTTCACCTTTCAGGACAAGGCTCAAGGTGACCGAGACTTTACGGAAATGGAGAGTTTGATGTCGAGATGTCTCTAACACGCCCTCTCCAGCGATGAAACACTTTACTCCCCGCCTCAATCTCAATTTGGCGTCGGTGTGCCAAACACAAGCGTCAAAAACCTCTCCCCTCCATCAAAGCCGGAACGTATACTAGATGTATAGTTGCGAAACATGGCGCGATGGTCACTTTGGCCGCCATATTCATTCCTTTTGAACCCGAGACACTTGCTCAAGAAGCTTGACGACGAAACGTACCTAGAACTCGAAGCAAACTATGGGAGCATCGGACCTCTTGTCAAGATACTCATGCTTGAGTATTTTGAACCAGGGATGAAGAGCAACTTTGACGTCTGCAATGAGAAGCTAAGCGGATAAAAAGACCTAAGCTGGGCTACGAGAAGACTACACCTTGAGCTCACGACGTGGCCATACTTCTGTCTGAAGTTTGAAGACTGTTCAACACGACCTCAATCCGTCGGCTTCAATTATCGCATGATAGCTCAGCGCTTCATCTTTTCTACGGCGAGAGCTCACAGAGCGATGTTCCGGAAACAATTCCTGGGCCGCCGACAAGCTCACAGCCGAAGCGTGTTGTAAATACCTTTGACGAAGTGTATCAGGTGGTCTCACAGTATCCAAGACGTCTGAAGCGTAAGTCGTTGGACTGCAACACAACGGACGAGTTCTATCCTAGCAAATTGCGGGTTGGTCATGAAGACATCAATCGCCGGGTCGATGAGTACATCCAGAGACGGTTCTTGGATCAGCAGCGCATTGGATTCACGCTACTTACTCAACTCGGGCGATTTGTTCACCTCGGCACGGACCCGTCAGACAATCGATCTCTCCCAATGTTATTTGCAAGCACTACGGGATGACCAATATATTTGGATCAGGGCAACTAGCCCTCGTACGCCAGAAGCAGCAATGACGCTCGAGAATCTGATCTTGCCAACTGCGACTGGCCACACGTCAGTGCCATTGACACGCCTGGATGGCGTTGCTGTTTCTCGCTAAAGCAATTGGATCTTGCAGCTTTGAAGATCGACAACAAGCAGCGCCGTCAGGGCGAGATTACGAGGGGGAGATGAGCAGCCTGTGGCGGTTACAGAGGTTTGCAAGAAACACCTTGGCAGAATCACTGCGATGGTCAAGGACCGAGAGAAGGGTCTCGTCAGCTAGACCATGATCGCCAAATACACAGCACGTGTGCTCATTATGGAATCAAGTTATGCGAGGCCCAAGTCACTCAATATGTGTGCCGTCGATGCCTGCTCCAAGTACCTTGGAGACGTCTGGAAACATGCTCACAAAGAAATTTGTGACCGCGTCAAGGTTGTTTGCCAGATTTCGTCACATGAGACCATGCAAGCCATCACAGTTCCGGTGCTTTGGCAGAGGCAGCTCAAAGCGAAGATCCAACTGCAGTGGCCCACGCCAGCCATAAAAAACAGAGTCATTCGGCTTGGCGATTCTCTATTATGTTTATACAAGCAGCTAAGCCATCGCCCCTTACATAACACTCGAACACAACCATGTCGCAAGACAAATGGTGTTGTTATGGGGCACCTAGACGACAACCGCCGGAGCTGGGAGTACTTACTGGGGGTGGCGAGCGGCTCGTTAAGCACTGCCAAATCACCGCTCTCCATGAAGCGCGCAGCACTATCAACCTCAACGAGACTATAACAACCATCTACCGCATCATTGGGAACTAGCAAACAAGCCCGATGAGGTTGCTCATCTTATCCTGCCCAGGAGAATTGCCCGCAGAATCAGACGTGCAAAGACGAAAGCTTGTGGGAGGTCTGCCGACGAAAAGCTCGCCGTCTCACTCCCTCCACCAGAAGTTCAACTTCCACAGCCACCGCCAGACAAATACAGAGGATATTGGATGTGAGAAGCGCGATGAACAGTTCGGCAAGGAGAACCCGCTTCAAACTGCCATGAGCCACCTCAAAGGCAAACACCCAACCGCTGAGGCACGAGCAATTGAGTATGACGAAGCGAACGGGGGCCCAAAGTCCAGGGTGAAGCGACGAGGATGAGAGGAATAAAACCAAGACCTTTCAACCTGTCGCCTGACGTTCTGCTGACTACGCTGTAGCACAGCCTCCCCTCTACAAATACCACATTGGCTCCCGAATTGGAACTGCTCAGCCTCCACGCAGTCTATGACCACCCCGGGCCCGGGACCACTCACGGCATTGTCGAGCAAGCGATTGTCAATCAGTTTTAAAGGGCATATCAAGAGAAACCACGACGTTTGTGATGCGGAGGACAGTCCTCCGACTTTGGCAACAACAAGTACCTACAATTGCAATGTAGAACTACAAGGGGGCTATTGAACGTTCATCACAGGCCGTATCCTATCCTTAGACGGCTTCATGACCGAGTCCTCAGACCAAGGCCTGGACTCACAAACGGTGTCCCGCACTGTCATCAAGAAGGAGTCAAGTGTAGCAGCTTCGCAAAGCCACAGGGTCGCCAGTGTAATAGAGTAATTGGTATGGCTAAAGTAAGGGAGCATGAGCGCCTCATGATGACCGAACAAAGTCACCCTGGAGCAGGGGGCGGACCACCCATCCCTCTCTTCCGAGTGGTGTCAGCAGATGATGGAAACTTTTACTGCCGACGGGGTCCCAAATGATCTAAAGGATGACTTCGAAACTCGGTGTGTACACCGCATGACCCGTTGCATATCACTGCTCTTCTAGCCACTTGAGCGTGACGGTCGATACTGCTAGAAGCACTAGCGACGTCCCAAACGAAACGAGCCTGGGTTGAGAGCCTACCGGCCATCACACGTCCATGCCATACAGGCACTCCTGTAGCAATGGATGCCTCTTCCGCCTGGCACAAAGTCAACGCAAGAGAGGTTCCAAGAGTAGAAAGAAGATAACGCTGAGGAATGGACGGAGCTGGTAAGCCTTCTGAAACCTGGCATGAATGCGTCTCAGTTCACGTCAATCATCCAAAACCCCCAGGCACTATGCTCGGAAGGGTTGGGAACGTCCATCTTATGAGGAGAGAGACATCTTTGGTAACGAGATACCAAAGACAGGAGAACAAAATCGCAGGTGACTTAATTCAGCTAATCCTGTGGCTTCTGTGTTTGCCCTACCCAACCCAAATAATCTCGCCTTGGCTACGATTCCGATTCCGGCGGGCCATTTTGAATGAGCCTCAGAACATCACTCGAAACAGAAATTTGGCTTGAGCTTATTATTATTCCTTTGATATTTACACACGGCAGTGTAGAAGATATGGAGACTTGCACTGGCCGGACACCAAGTACACCCTTTGGCCTCCATAAACTTCAAGGTAAGAAACCAGAGTCATACTACACACTATATAGTAGCTAATATTTCCAAAGGAAAGCCAGAGAAGAAATCCTATGAGCCGAAGAAATCCGAACCCCCTATATCATCACTTGAGACTTCTCATTGGGGAAGTTCGAATTGGAGGTCACCAGGAAAGGCAATTCTTTGTACGCCATAACTACAGCAACCACCGACGAACTTAGCAATGGGTCATACACAACAAACTGTCGGTATGCATCAAGACTCGGCTTCTATCAGTTGGTTTGGCAAATATAGTCAGTCAACAGCTTGAGATGCTACGCATAGATCGGGGAGGTGTGCGCAGCGGCCCTCAGCCAATCACCCCCCGACCTGACTTACTCTGACACGCTCTTTACATGCGCCGAAAGTGCTGGCCTGATTGAACTCGATGTCTTTTCTTGAGGGATGAGGCCTTGGCTGATCACGCTCGAGGAAGCGACTGGTGACAAGGCTGGGAACAACGTTGGATCAAGGCACTACAAGATCGAATTCGAGATGCGAAACAAGGTCATTGGCCGGGACCTAGAATGTATGCGCTGCCTGATGACAACCAAGATGCAATTGAGAAAGTGAACGGCCATTTCAGCCGACTGCAGCGCGCTTCACCCCCAATTGGTTCCGGTCTCGCAATCGCCAAGACCAGCAGATCCCGCTTCGCCAAAGGGTCGTCTACTCCCGAACGCCTAAAGGACCAAGAGACCACTACTGCCAACGCAGGTTTCTCTGTTCTAATACAGGGTCTGATTATACGACCTCCACCGAGATCTTACCCCCAGAACCTTACTGCGAAGAGGTACGCGTTCACTCAACACCGCAAACTTCACGAAGCAAGGATCATCTACCTCCCAGTTGTACCTGCGACGCGGAGGTGACTCGGCTCAACGTCCGTGTTATTCTTAGTAAAAGTTCAAGCTCTGGATCTTCTCAGTGCCACCCTTAGGTTAGTTCCGGCTTCAGTATAAGGGTTAGAAAGTTGATAAACTGCTCTTGCACCTTGATATCGGGAGTAGCTCAACTCTTGGAGTACCAGGTCCCAAGCCCAAATGATCACCACTCAGACCTCGACAACCAAGAGATATGATCCAAAGCTTGCAACTACCCTTCAACTCCAAGGCGATGGGGTATATTCTCAACATATTTAAGCTCATGGTTCCGTGGAAAAAGGATATTAATGAATGGCGAACTCAGGAACAAATTGCCGAGATCAACAAACTGTGGTCGATTCATCGCTAGCTTTGGGAGTAAACCGAGACTTTTTCAACTCGATGCCACTGATCTTCCTAAGCAAGACAGCAAGCAGCACAATTGGGAAGCGATACATTGATTGCAATGCCGCGAGGAACATCATGTTTGGGTTCCAGCATCAAATATCTCGACTACCTATCCTTGTCTCCTCACATCGACATCATGTGTGAGCTCTGTTTATCGAACAGTAAACACGTAAGGCCCCAATACAAACCGCTCAATCCCTGTGACTAACCACCTCTAGTCCATTGCAGGCAGGGCAAGAACAAAGTACCTAACGACACGGCCACATGACTTGACTCCTTTATCAGGCAGAAAGTCAAATTCCCTCTTCAACTACGCTGCGACGACATATCCCTATATCACAGCCTCAGTCAATGAGAGATCAGCCGTGGCAGTCATACGCAATGGAATCACAGGCTATGGAGATCAAGGTGCAGCTCAAACCATCAGACAAGCGGACCAAGTACATCTAGGTGCTTGTCGAAGCCTCAAGACTGCGAATGTCTTTATCTCCCGATTCTTTGAGACTTGAAGACTTCGCGAAGAGACCAGTAGCCAGCGTTTAGAAGAGCAGTGCCAAATCTCTTCCTTACCTACTACCATGATAAGGAATACTGCCACCTTTCGATACTACCTTTCGGTGCCAACTACCACGACATCATGCCGCCAGGAAAGAGCTCGGAGTTTGTATCAACGACAGAAGACCAGCCTCAAGCATCATCCGTCAAAGCAGATGCCTGGAGACAGTTTCTGATGATCGATCGAGAACATTACGAAGCGTTTGTCGAATGGCAGAACAGCAAAAGCGCTCGGATTTGATATCAACGGGAGAGGATCAGTTCAAAGTCTCACTCAAAGCAGATGCCTGGAGATAATTTCTTACCTTCTGATGCACAACAGCCACTTCATCCCCAGGTGGAAGCCTTGATTGCATGCAGCCATCACCTTGGAGGACTGCCTGATGACAGGAACTATGCAGCAGCATACTTCTCATACATTGAACATCCTGCGATATACCAAGGCTGCAGTAACAAACCCTTCCATAAAATTGACAACAAGCCAGCTGTGGAAGGAAAAACCCCTCCTCTCCCGCTACTTTCAGACTTGACGACTCAGCAAAGAGACAAGAAGAGTGCCAGATATCTTCAGCTCCCGCAGGTCTCGACCGAAGCAACATTACCCCTAGATTCGATTTCCACGAGCGGGATGCCCTAATCTGTCCACCTCACAATTCAGTATTCCACCTGACGGCGCACAATTACCAAGAAAGTGACACAGATAGTGTCGAAAATAATCTCGCCCCTCTCAACGCGCGTCTAGCCAGAAGAGAACAAGAGTGCTTCAAACAATCCAGTCGCGCTGCCCCTTGCCCGATTTCATGAGCATCGCGAAAGCAGAAGACAATCGCGAAATCGACCACCGAAGCTGAATACTACGCCCTCTCCATGAGGCTTGCGATTACACTGGAGATACCTAAAGCACTGTCGAATACTCGCTTTCCGTTGATGATGGTCACGGCGACCCTTTCAATGCTGCCACAATTGAGCGCTGAAAGACGTTGCCAAAGCCGTGCGGCAACTTCAACCGTGCAGACGGCAGTGAAGCTCACAAGACCTTAGCAGGCGAATACTTACAGGGCAAGTTTTCAAATACAAACGTGTTGTCGCTGTTCTTTGGAAAGTCCAGGTGGATCACTGCGTTCAATAAACATTTCGTCCTATCCGAGGAGCTGCAATCTTTGAGCTTGTCTTTGGATCGGACTTCCAAGACATGCTGTCAATTCCTTATAAATTGTCGCCAGCCTAGGACGTCAACTTCAACGTCAACTGGCAAAGAGTATCCAAGACACAACAAGCTGGTCTTTTGCAAATATTGTGACCCGGTCATATTTGCAACGGTTGGGATCATTGCCAGATACCAATATCCGAACAGACCTCCCTTTTCAGCTCAGCACTACTCATGTTACCACACACGGAGCCTCTTCAAAGAGGAACAAGACTTGGTACAGCTCCATGATGAGGCTCTGCCCACTGTGTCTCTTCTGACTGACCTGAAAACCACGCTCCAAATGATGGAGAATGCAGGTATCGACATTGAGAAAATGGTCCTGTCAGCCAACTGATCCCGTCAACCACCCAATACCCACTTCGACTTCAGGATTCAAGTGTGTTGACAAGTCGAATGGTCCAACTGGAGCTCCTCAGCCCGTGGTGTGCGCGGTAATAAGCGTGACTCAGCAACAACAGAGTTCTTTACTCGAGCCGAGCAAAGGACTGATAGATTCGCAATGGAATATTAGCATCAACTTAGAAGCCTTGAGATCTATGGACTCGCTCTTACCTTGAGAGTGGAAGCATCAAAACTCTAGATTCTTTATAAAGGAGGAGTTTAATCTGTTCGACCGCTACTTGGCAAGCAGAAGAGGCACAGCTTTTGCCATGCCTCATCAATGCCATTCACGGATAATACCAGCATCTGCCGCCAGAATTGATCTCGAGCTCTTTGTCAAGACCGCGGTAATTGCGGACTACATGGAGTATTCTGAGGCACAGTTGATGACATCCAGGGTTTGATTATCCAACATTGACGACCACAGGGGTGTCAATACGTTGGACAGCCCAACCTTGATGTTGTTTCATTCGGAAGAAGTGCTCGATTCGACAAAAAGCTAGGCCTGCCCGGAGAGCATTGAGCTGAATGGCCTCACTTTCACGAGTCACGCAGGGCAGCCGCCTATTGCAGGCTTTCGGACCTCAAATGAGAACAATACATACAAGCTATACATTGGCAAGTCGGACCTCCACACACGAAGACACCCTACAGCAAGAGGGAGTGATTATTTCTCGTCTAGATCGCCCGAAGACCAGAGCAAACTTGAGCGTGACTCTTAAGACGATACAGGAGAAGGATATAATTGGATGTCGCCTAGATCCAATCCCACGACTCGCGAGCTAGGTCTTGGGCCGCGTTCAATCCGAGCCATCTGAAAGTGTGATGATGGGCGTCGATCTGTGCACGGAACTCGACAATAACATCAACGATAACGACTACAGGGTGAGGAAGTGGCTGTCGGCAGCAAAATCAAGGCAGTAGGTATCACACCTGATACCATCTTCCTAGCATGGCATCAGAATTGCACTGATCACTTTCCCGAGAATCTCAACTTCGCGATCGACAAAGACCAGTCCAAAACCCGGGGTGGGGAATCGAGTTTACCCTTTTGGTAGCATCATTCTGGAAATCGCTGGACACAACCACAAAGAGTACGAAGAGCCCGACCTTGGCGAGTACAAACTCTAAGCCGCCGGTGTCATCTTTCAAAGAACTCGATATTGCAAGGCGCAAGTACCTCGTGGAAGAAGATGGAGATAGGTCCAACGCGCTTGCATCTATCACGAACAACCACGAGATCTTTACAGAAGTTCTTCTGAAAGGATCAGGTGCTTCTTCAAGGGATAGCTTAGCTTCGCCGTGGTGAATGAGATTGTTGGAAAGAAGAAAAACAACAGCCAGACGGGGCATCACTAGGTGCGCCATAGCCGCCTCGGTCGCCTCCTCGGTCGCCGCTTCGGAACCCTCCTCCACGGCCACCGAATCCTCCTCTAAAACCTCCACGGCCGCGTCCTCCGTCGAAAGAAGGATTATAGAGCTATTTATACACCAACACACCAACAGTTGGAAAGCATGCACTTAGCAATAATATCCTTGTTTGACCGACATCACAAACAAGAATGATATCTTTGGTCCTCGCGTGATATCACGAAGTGGTTCTCAGCGTTGCCACAGCGCGACTTGTGACCGACAAAACCATGTTCCTGGAGCCCTTTATACCGCTACTACGATATATTGCTATCTCCTTGCCCACATTATCAGTGATGGTGCGGTGGTCGCTAGGAATGTTGATCCAACAGTACCTATCTCTGTTGATCTTGGATACACTACGCCAGTTGCCAGACTATCGGTTAGTTTCAACAGAGACCACCAACGAGAAAGACTCATAGATCGCTCACTCAGCCACTCCTTATCTTGACTCTCCCAGAGAGAAGCTCAAGCAGGATGCTCCTTAGCAACGCTGCTCTCAGCCGCCTTCAATGGAACGTTCCAGAGCCGACAAGAAGAAGAAGGAAGTCGTCGGGCCGAAGGAGATGAAGGTATGCCTTTGGCCGGCAACGAGGAGGTGAAACATTACACTAACTATGCTTAAGAAAAGTGCAAGAGAATTTAGAATCGCATGAATTGTTGCGAAGAACACCAAAGAGCCATTCGAATCATGTTTTGAAGGACTCTTTACAGCTCAACCTACCGGTGTCTTGCATGTGGAAACCGTACATCTCGTGTGTGTACCATGTCCCCTGGACGATCGACCAAACCCTCACGGAAACTGTTGGTGTGAACTCTCGTCAATCGACATATCAAATATGTCCTACCAACTCACCCACTCGCCCTCACTATCCTCGCCCTCACTATCCTCGCCCTGTCCTACTTTTCTGCATAGCTATGTAACCAGCAGTCAGAAACCCGGTCAAGGCGCCCTGGCGTAGTCGTCGAAATCGCTTACACCTAGCAAGGCAAGAAGCTGAAGAACTTGCCAAGGCTTACATGGGCAGAACCGAAGGCAAGATCCAGCTCTTGTCAAGAAATTCAGCATTAACACAATACGAAGGCCTGCATCAGCGGAAGCAGAGGCGGGATCAAGGCTGTCATTGGCTTTGACATCAACACCAACAAGCAGTCAACTGTCACGGTCTAGAAGGCCAGATTGACTCCTAAGCCAAGAGGCGGGATCAAGGCTGTCATTGGCTTTGACATCAACACCAACAAGCAGTCAACTGTCACGGTCTAGAAGGCCAGATTGACTCCTAAGCCAAATGGACTAAGATTGATCCTGCAAGTTGAGCGAGTTATCAAGCGAGTCGTCCAAAGTGCATTACGTGCTTTGCCATTCTGCTTGGACACGAGGCAATGGCGAGGCATCTTCATTACTTCAACTTCGATATGCTCGTGATTGGGGCCGCGACTCTACCAACGAGTCATACCATGAGCAAATGCTTCATTTCGGACTTTGCTTACTATCGCCAATTACCCGTCCGCGTCGTTATATTCCATTCTCGCTAGGTTGAAACTCCTGTGCAAATTGCGAGTCCTCCATCACCCGCTGAGCAAGATACGGCTCGCGTGCCTGCCACTTCTCAATCTAACAACAAAACTACGCCCTCGATGCAGTTGTTAACTACAACAGCTTGACTATTGCCATCGACTTTGGCGAAACAAACTCTTCAGTGTCGTGGGTCTCGATACCCGCAGGCATCCCATCAGACACTATCGTCCTGGCTGCTCTCGCTAGGTCAAGCTTCAAACTTGTACCGAAGCAGTCTTGATCAAACAGGAGATAGACTTGTCTCTCGGCGGATCTGCTCTTCAGTTCTCCAGAGATTATCAACAAGATATAAAAGCTCTGCAATCTCAGTCAAAC